ATGACTTTTTCTGGATTCCCAGTTATGTTCCATTGGTTTATTTATCTATCCCTTACTCTATACCAGTGAAACATTGTTTTGATCGTTACAGCTTTGTAGTAAGTTTCAAAATAGGGATATGTGAGTCCTGTAACTGTGTTCTCCTTTTCCAGTAGTGTTTTGGCTATTTGGGGCTCCTTGCAGTTTCAAATGAATTGAGAATGGCTTTTCTGTTCCTTCAAAAAGGGTTGTTGGAATTTTAATAGAGGTTATGTTGACTCTGTTATTGCTATCTTAACAGTACTTAAGTTTCCCAATCCTTGAACAAAGCATGTGTTTATATTAATTTAGATCTTAATTTTCCTGTAGCAGTGGTTTGTAGTTTTTAGTGAACACATCTTAAAACTTCTTGGTTAAGTGTATTTCTGGATACTTTTTGAATAGACTTGTTTGTTCATTTCCTTTTGGACTGTTACTGCTAATGTATAGAAATGCTACTGAATTTTCTTTGTTGATCTTGTATCCTGCAATATTGCTGAGTTTATTAACTCTAATAGTTTTCCCCACAGATACAGAAATCAGGGTTGATTTCCTTTAGGATGGACTGGTTGGATCTCCCTGCAGACTCTCCAACACCACAGTTCAAAAGCGTCAATTCTTCCGCGCTCAGCTTTCTTTATAGTCCAACTCTCACATCCATACATGACTACTGGAAAAACCATAGCTTTGACTAGGTGGTTATGTGTCTTGGTGTGAATCTTTTTGTGTTTATCTTTCTTGGAGTTCAGTTAACTTCTTGGATATGTATATTTTGTATCTTTAGCTAATTTGCTAAGTGTTTAGCCATTATTTCTTGATTTCTTTTTCTGCCCCCCTTCTTTTCTCTCCTGAAACTTTTGTTATGTGTATGTTGGTATGCTTGATGATGTCCCACAGGTCTTTATTCAGTTTTGTTTTGTTTTCTTCTAGCTCCTTAATCTGGTAATTTTAATTGACCTCTTCACTCATCAGGTTCTCTGATTCTTCTTTCTGCTGGCTCAAATCTGCTATTAAACTGTCCAGTGAAATTTTCATTTCAGTTAACGTACTTTCTAGCTCCAAAATTTGTTTGGTTCTTTTCTGTAATTCTTACCTCTTTATAGATACTCTGTTGAGACATTGTTCTGGTTTCCTTTAGCCCTTTTGTATTTAAGACAATTGATGTCTGTTTCTCATCAGTGGCAGTTTCTGCTAATGTCACACCCTCTCCCATCCCCCACCATGGGCTGTACTGTATTGTTTCTTTGCATGTTTTGTAATGTTTGTTAGAAAATCAAGCATTTTGAATACTGAATCAATAAGTTGGAGACTCTAGGAGTCAAATATTTTTTTCTTCCCATCGTTGGAGTTGCTTACTCTTGGGTTGTGGTTGTGTGTACATTTAGTGACTTTTCTAAACTATTTCTGAAAGTCTGTATTCTTTGTTTTGGGTAGTTTCTGAAGTCTCTGTCCCTCAGATTGTAATCACCTAGTGTTTTGTTGTGTTTGAGAGAAATAATATTTTAATAAAGTTTAATGCAAAAAATCCATGGTGAATAAAAAGTTACCAGGCTCAGTATATTGTCTAAAGGTTGCAAATTTTTCACACATAGGCGAACAAGAAATCAACTTAGTACTCATAGCACAGCTGAGACAGGTTGAAGCCTTTAATAAGACTTTCCTAAAGGTTTAGTGGTTATAGAAAGTAGTTTCAAGGCAATATAATAGTTTTGTTTCAGCTGTCCATGGATATGGCTATTCTCAGAGCTCTTCAAACAAGAGCCATTGTTAACCTTGTCCAGCTTGTGTTTTGTTGCAGATGAGTGTCTGGAGCCTAAAGGGAATAAAAATGAAAGAAAAGAAATAAGAACTCTCCCAGTCTTTGTTTTATTGGATCTGTGTTGGGCATTCTGTCTTTCCTTTAAATATTTATTTTTGGCCGCTTTGGGTCTTAGTGTGGCAGGCGGCATCTTTGTGGCGCCTGGGCTCTTACTTGTGGTGTGTGCACTCAGTAGTTGTGACTGTAGGCTTAGTTGCCCTACAGCATGTGGCATCTTAGTTCCTCTGTTGTTCAGTCGCTAAGTCGTGTCTGACTCTTTGCGACCCTACAGACTGTAGCCTGCCAGACTCCTCTCTCCATGAGATTTTCTGGGAAAAGAGTACTGGAGTGGGTTGCTGAGCCTGCCACCAAGGGATCTTCCCTGACCCAGGGATCAAACCCATGCCTCTTGCATCTTCTGCACTGCAGGCGGATTCTTGTCCCTTTCAGCCACCAGGGAAAAATTTCTCCGTTCCTGTCTTCTCTGGCTGGGGCTCTGTAAATTAAACTGAAGAAAAACATTAACAAGAGAAAACAAACAAGTTTATTAGCACATGGTCACCCGGCGGTACCTCTCGCCGTCAGTAACTCAAAGAGGATGAGTAGAATGTGGGATCTGTATACCTAACTTCACGGGGGAAAAGAATATTTAGTAGAAAAAAGCAAATGATTTTTGAGACAAAACGGATAACTCGGTCCTTAGGCATTTGTGGCAGTGTTTGAGTGTGGTGCTGAATTTTTTTTTTTCTTTTCTTTTTTGTTCTCCCCAAAAGAGAAGATGAGTTGCTCCAGGAGAGGGGATTAACAGATTCTTTTGGCAGGCTCTGCATTTAGGTTGATAAGGAATTTTAGGAACTCACATGCCTTCAGCTAAGTTTTTCTTACATCAAAGTGGCTTGTTTTGGGGATGGCACATCCTGATCTCGTCACACACTTCTGTAAATGTGATATTAACTAGTATTGCTCTTTACCTTTTTTCAGAACAGGAAAACTTATGCCATTAGCTATCTATGCTTTATTCTCTATGAATTGATTTAAATTAGAATTCATAAAGACACACAGAAACAAAGAGATAATAGTAGTGGTTTGTCTCTTAGGAATAAGTTGTAGTGTGTAACTTACCATTTAGCCTTTGGTTTTCTATGATTCCTGGGGCTACTCTCTAGTTGCTTTGCGCAGGCTTGGTATTGTGGTGGCTTCTCTGTTGCATTACGCAGGCTGTAAGGTGTGCAGGCTCAGTAGTTGCAGCATACAGGCTTAGTTGCCTCATGGCATGTGGGATCTTTGAGGACCAGGGATCAAATCAGTGTCCCCTGCATTGACAGGTGAGTTCTTAACTACTGGACCACCAGCGAAGCCCTGATCATTTAATTGAGTATGTAAACATTTTTGTTACCTTAGTGAGTTAACCAGTTGTTTCTGTCTCTTGTATCTGACGTTTGTTGACCTTCCTTCTGCCCCTTCCCCTTTCCAGTACATTGGTTAGTAGAATTGGAGTTTTTGTGTAGTATCTTGAGAATTTTTATTTTAGGAAATACTTTGGTATGACTTAAATTCTGCCGTAGCACTTATATTTGAAAGAATTTTGAAAAAGGATGATTAGCAGCGGTATTGATAATTTTGCTTTTTAAAATTTCCCTTTTGAGGTTATTCTGCAGTTGTAAATTTAAGATATTAGTAAATTTAGACATTAATGTTCAGAAAATTTGATTTCTTCATTGACTAATTTCTAAGCTCTATATTGAAATGAGTACAGTTGCCCAGTTGGCTTCTTCCCCTTTTTAAAAAAACCTGTGAATTTACTGTGTTTAGATTGGGCTGGTGACTTGAAATTTTTGATGCAGTTGAGAGAGGCTTCCAAAAAGTTAAATTTAGAATGTAGAAGAATAGTGGATGCCCATTGTGATGATTGTAATTTAAAAAATCCTTTTAATTGTGGAAATTTTCAGATATACATGTAAGTAGAGAGACTCCTTAGGCACCTCCTGGTACTAACATTTCTAAACACACGGACAGCCTTGTTTCAGTGACACCCATATTCCTTGTTTTATTCCCCTGAAGCAAGTTCCAGATACATGGATTTAATTGCAAAGACTTCAGTGTATGTCCTTTTATATACAGTTGACCCTTGAATAGCATAGAGGTTGGGGTGCTGTCCATCCACGCAGTTCAAAAGTCTCACTTCAGAAGTCAAAAAATCTTTTCAGTTGGCCCTCCCCACTTGCTGCTCCACATCTTTGGATCCAACCAGCCTCAGGTCATGTGGTGCTGTATTACATATTTAGTGAAAAAAAAAAATCTGTATATAAGTATCTCAGACCGTCACAGTTGGAGACCTTACTGTTGAAGGGTCCACCATACCACTAACAGTTACATCTACAGTGACTAATAATTTCTTAAAGTCATTATAATATTCAGCTCATGTTCAAATTTTGGACTGTTTCATAATTTTCACTTTTTGAACTTGGTTGGAATAAGGATCTATGTAAGGTCCACATGTATTTGATTGATCTGTCTGTGAAATCCATGTATTTGTTGAAGAAGCCAGATCATTTGACCTGTAGACTATCTTGTGATCTCCATTTGATGGGATTACTTCCCTCACTTGTCCTTTAATTTATTATCTGTGTTGAATTTCCTGTAAATTGATAATTGGATCAGAATTCCAATTCTGTAGGGGTAGGGGGGGAAGAATATGTGCTGTGTACATAGGTAATGCTGTGTGCATCATATTGTGTCACAGCAGGAGACACTTTAGTCTGTGATAAGACTATTGTAATTTCAAAACTAAGCTTCATTGAGGTAGTTTATAATACAATTACCTAGTTTTAAGTGCATAATTTGGTGAGTTTTAACAAGTGTCTACATTTGTATAATAACCTTCAGCACAATTAAGATAAATACCCAGTTACCCTTGAGAATTTCTTTCTTCCCTTTGTAGTCATTTCCCTTCTTTCCAGGCCCTTTACCCTCCACTGTGCTGATCTGGTTTGTCACTGTATTTTTGCCTTTTCTAGAATTATAATTGAAATCTTATAGTAGTCAGAACACTGTAATTTAAAGGAGGTATAAGATAACTTTGGCCAGGAACTATATAGATCTAATGCTTTCCACTTTTGTATGACAGGGACTTGCCATGAGGTGTTGAAACCTTGTTTCGCTGAGTTGGAGAGACTGGACCTAAATGGCGCAGCATGACTTTGCTCCAGCCTGGCTTAATTTTCCTACCCCACCATCATCAACAAAGGTATTCTTTCTTCATCTCTCTTTTCTTTTTGTCTTTCTGTCTGCTTTTATTTAGTTCATGTTCTACACAGATGTAGTTAAACTAAAGCTTAATGTTTTGCAGAGAAGCACCTAAACTTTCTTATTTCATATTTAATGTGTTGGTTTATCTATATATGTCAATTTTTCAGTGTACCATCAACATTCTAAACCATTTACTTCAAAAGTTGTCTTTTGTGCTAAAGTTCTGCATTTTAAAATTCAAACCAAAAAAATAAAATAAAATTCAAACCAGTTAAATACATTGCACATTACTTTTGTGGCTTACCTCTCTTTGTACTATTCTTCTGATAACTGACTTTGCTTACTTTCCTATAGATAACATTAAAAAATCAGAAGTTTTTAAAGTTTTTCCTTACAATTGGAAGACTTCTTTTTCAAATAAATGAGACTATGGCATATTACTCAATTTTAGGAGTTACGAGAACTTTGCAGTGTTGCTACATATCAGATGACTCACTGATTTTAAAATGTTCATTTTATATAACCAAAACAGAACTTAGTGTATAAGACATGCTTGACATTGAAATTGTCATCCGCTTATAAGCCGTCCTGAGAGGGATGTTGAAATTGATTAGAATCAATCTATCTGGCTCCATACTATCTTCCACTTTGTTTTTTCCATAGTGCAAAGGAATCAAGAGGGAGGTCTTAATCATCTGCTTACCTATTAGTCTCTACCATGCTAAGGCATTCATCTAGGACCTTTTGGGGGTCCAAGCAGTTCTTATAGAACAGTTTGCTGAAACAGCTTTTAGGGGAACAGTTTTATAATTTGCAGAGTTGTTCCCCAGTAAGGACTTCTTAGATCATAATATATTGGAAACGTTGCATTGGGGGAGACACAGCATGTGAACTGCCTTTATTTTATGCAGATGAATTCTCTGGAAGGCTCATTGACTTGCCTGTTTCCATATAGTGTGAGCCTAGACCCACTCCGGTACTCTGGCCTGGAGAATCCCATGGATGGAGGAGCCTGGTAGGCTACAGTCCATGCGGTCACTAAGAGTTGGACACGACTGAGTGACTTCACTTTCACTTTTCACTTTCATGCATTGGAGAAGGAAATGGCAACCCACTCCAGTGTTCTTGCCTGGAGAATCCCGGGGACAGGGGAGCCTGGTGGGCTGCCGTCTATGGGGTCGCACAGAGTTGGACACAACTGAAGTGACTTAGCAGCAGCAGCAGCAGACTAGAATCTAGGATGCATTTTCTATTTTGTAGTATTTTCATTTGTGGATTTTGTAAAATAATTAAACATTTTATTTCATAGATTATAAAATGGGATCACAGTTGTTAGGAAATGGGAAAACCATTTCTTAGTTACAGACTGTTAGCCCGCCTTTCCTCTTCTGTTTAGGTCTCTGAAATTTGCTTTGCTCTTGTTGTTTATGTGTATCCCACCCCACTAGTTGCTGTCAGCTATGCTTTTCCTGGATTCAGTTTTTTCCAGACCTACTTCAGAGCCTGGAAGCACATGAATTTCTTGCTCCTCCATTTCCTTTTACTCTTTGAAATGAGTTAAAGATTTGTTTTCATTTTTAAACATATCAGTAAAAATTATAAGCATCTGGAAAGTTAGTTACAAACATTATTGAGAATAATTCTTGTCTTCATTGAAGTGTTGATTAAGGTTGATTAAGATTGACTTTGTTATGTGTGGTGCAATTCTTAATGCTTTCTAGAACTAGACATTTGATCTGGATATAGGCCCTCATGAAACGAAGCTTTGATTTTGCCAATTATAAATTTTCAATTAATTCTAATTTATTTTAGATTACCTACAGAAAATAATGTCAGTTTGAACTCTTAACTAGCAATATTTGAAATTATCTTCTTAGGCCTTTCGCAAAGTGGTTTTAACAAATACAAATAAATACACACATCGTTTGGTATAACGACTTATACTGTCTATATCACTCAAAATCACTATTCCTGGATTTTCAATTATCATTCTTATTTTCTGACAGAGCCCTTTTAATCTTATCCTGAATAAATGGGATAGTCATAAATAAATGTTGGGTTCTCTTTTTCAACTTTGTGTTAAGTCTTTTCTTTATTATTTGAAGAGATGATAGGAGTACTTGAATTAAGGGTTAACAGTGTTTTCAACACTGCATCTGAGCAGTTTTCTAAGGTATGCAGAATTTTAGCCCCATCATGTGGTGAAATTTTAAACTGCATGTGGTGGTTTCTGTCTATGAAACAGACATACTGGCATTTGAACTGTTCATTAGGACCCAATGAGAAATTTTACATTGTGTTTTCATATGCACATGGCTGTAACTAAAAAGTCATTTATCTGTGTTCTTCTTTCTCTTGGGGTCTTTTTATTCCAGTCAAAAAAATGCTAAAAAAAAAATGCAAATTGCTACTAATTATGTGTCTTTTATAATGAGACCTCACCTACAGTTTGAAAAATAGAATTGTAATTACTTTCCTTCACTAATATAAGTAGTATCAGTTTGCATTGAAACTGTGTGCTTTTTAAACTTTAGGCTAAGACAGGATGAGAAAATTTAGTCAGACTGGTAGCTGAATTCATTGAAACTTTTTGTTTACTAAGTAGATTCTGTTGATTCACATATTCTGGGAATCAGAAAATTATGCTATTATTTTTAAAAATTCAGAAAAAGATTTAAAATGTGGTAACTAATATTTCCTCGAGTCATTACTACATACCAGTCACTGTGTAAAGCGCTTTATAAGAAGGCAAACAAAAGCATAAAAGGTAAAATACTGTTCCCATCTTCCCCCCAACCCATGTAAACAGACGGGGAACTGAGGTTAAGAGAGACAAATAACTTGACCTGAAGTGCTTGAGTTAGCACAGGAACATATGTGTGCTTGACTTTAAATAATTATGTTTAATAGCTTTCTTTTTTTGATGATTAAGAAGTAGACTAATTTTCAGAAGTGAAATACTAAGATGTTTTAATGTATATATCAGAATATAATTTTATCTTGGTTTTGGTAAGCAAATTGCTTTTTTTTTCCTTCAAGGATAGCATCTCCAATAATCTATTTCTGTAGTTAGTACATGGGTGTCTTCACTCTGCAGTGGCTGTGTGCAGTTGACCCTTGAGCAATATGGGTTTGGGTTATTTATGTCCGCTTATGTGGATTTTTTCTCCCCAATAAATACGTACTGTAGAACTGTGTGATCTGTGGATACTGATTTTGACCATGCATAGAGTTGGCACCTCTATGGTGCATTTTTCAACTGCCAACCTTAATCTTTTATTGAGTGAATCTGCATAGATTAATTGGACCTATTAATGGATTAAGCTGCTATTAATGGACTAAGTTGCAGGAATGCTTGGGCATCTCTTGAATGTATTTGTAGGGGAAATTCCTAGCAGCAGAATCTGTGAATTAGGAAGTTTATACCTTTTGATAGATAGTGCCTAATTGCTGTCTAGAAATGTTGTAGCAGTTTATAATCCTATAAAAATTTCATGGAGGAGGGGCAGTTTTTTCACTATTGACAATGCTGGCTGTTGTCCCGTTTTTTCATATTTGTGAAATTCAATGAAAAAAGACACTTCATTGTTTTGATTTTCATTATTTAATTATGACTCAGCATATTTTTGTCTTAGGAAATGTTATTCATGTAACTTATTTCTTAGTGATTTATTTGTAATAGCTCTTTTCATATTGAGGAGTTTGTTGTGTGTTCTGCATATATTTTCCTACAGTATATTTGTCTTAATAATTCTAAAAGAACCATGTGGGTAGTTCTGAAGAAATATTTAAATGTACAGAGAAGCATGGAGAATAAGTCACATCATAACATTTTGCAATTTTATCTTTGTGTCTCTTCTGGAAATAAACAATTGAAGTCTGCTGTTGACTTCTTCACAGTCCTTTTTCTGTCTTCATTTGTTCCCCAGAGATATTCTCAGTGCATGTTCTTATATTGTTACTAACTATGTGAATATCAAAAGGAGTTTTCTGTATATATAGAACATTAAATGATTAACATTTATGTTCTGAACCTTGTTTTTATATTTGTTATTTATAGCTTTTAGAATTCCCCCCATTTGATATCTGCAGATTTGCTGTAATTACCTTAAAAACTCTGTTCCTGAGTCTCCTGCATTTCAGGTGGATTCTTCAGTCTGAACCACCAGGGGACCCCCAAAACTCTGTATTCTATTTTTTGCCTCTGTATCACACTGTGTTTGTCTCATTAAGTTGAGATTGTTTATATCACTGGGAAAGATTGAGGGCAGGAGGAGAAGCGGGCAACAGAGGATAATAAGATGGTTGGATGGCATCACCGACTCAATGGACATGGGTTTGGGTGGACTCCGGGAATTGGTGATGGACATGGAGGCCTGGCATGCTGTGGTTCATGGGGTCGCAAAGAGTCGGACACGACTGAACTGAACTGAACTCTATAATGAATACTGTATTGACTATTTTCTTACTGTTTCCTTGCATGCATGGATAAGAATTCTTTAGACTCCTGCTTCTCAGACTTTAATGGCTATGAAAATAACCTGAGAATTTTGTTAAAATGCAGATTCTAATTTCAGTAAATCTCTTAATGGGGTCCTAGTCCTGACAGTCTTCAAAGTACTGTTGATTCTGCTTGTCTCTGGACCACATTTTGCATGTCAAGGCTCTGACCTATAGTTAAAAGAAAAATTGCTGGAATTCAGTTCCATACTGCCAAATTTCTTTTCCATCTGGTATACTGATTTATACTTCTGTATGCTGTACATAACTATTCTTTTTACTTTGTACTCTTACCCTCTTGCCAAGACTTTGTCAGATTATCAGAGTTAACATTTTTGCCAGTCTTTGTTATGAAATGTATTTTTACTGTTTCTTGGACATTGGGTTATATTTCTGTGAATTGCCTATTCACATTCTTTGTTTATTATTTCTTCTGGGCTGCCTTTCTGGGGGGAGTACTGGTTTGGCGGGGGAGAGAAAAAGTGTGTGTGTGTGTGT